TCTCGAAGGTCGGGCCCTGGTGGGAGTCCTCAGGAGGGTCGCAAAGACTCGCGAGTACATCCAGAAGCGGGTCCTCATTCTCACGGACTCCATGGGTGCACTGTTCTCGGCTCAAAAGGGAAGGTCGAGTGCGCCAGGTCAGTGCCGTGTCGCCCGCCAGCTGGCCTCCCTCCTCCTGCTGTGGGACATCCAGCTCTGTCTGCGATGGGTGCCCAGCGAGAGGAACGTGGCTGACGAGCCGTCCCGCCGCGGGCTGCGGCATGCTGGTGCAACGAGCGCTGAGGGCAAGTTCCGCCGTGGCTGGGGCAGCGCGCGGGGAGAGAGTGCTCTCTCGGAGTGGCGTCGCCGGGCGCTTCCTGACCCGCCAGGCGCCAGCCTCGCCAGTGCTGCAGCCGGGCGTGACCCGCCCCCCCCCCCTCAGCGGGAGGGCTGGCCTTGGTCGCGCCGGCCGTGGCGCCAGCCGAGGATCCTCGCCTGCCACGGCGGCGCCTGGCCCCGACCACAGCACCAGAGCATGCATGTCGGCGAGTTCAGCGACGGCAGGATGCTCACGGCGCGGTGCGAGCCTTGCTGGGTCGGACGGTGCTGGAGACGGTCGTGGTGCGAGCGCCGGCGAGGCGATCGCACCTCCGTCGGGTTGCGGGGCTGGCGCGGCGCTCGGAGATGGTGACCGCGCAGAACGTGACGGGCGCGGAGCTGGGCCGGGCGCAGAGTCGCATCATCAGCTTCCTCGGCCAGATGAGCGTGGTGTGCCTGAACGCGGCGGAGGCGGAGCACCTCTACGAGGAACTCTTCGAGGGCACAAAGGAGAGCTAGGGCGGCCGGGTGCTGGCCGTGCTGTCCTGGGCCTTCGCCCCCGTGGGCGAGCAGGTGTGCAACCCCCTTCGGGCACGGGCATGTTCCGTGGCGGTGCACCGACTTGCTCCAAGCAAATCGAGATGGCCAGTTTCCGAGATCCTGATCTTTGTGGTGGCGAACAAGTTGATCGCGCAGGGGAGGTTGCAGCAAGGCGCGGCAGTCTTGACGGCACACTTCTGTTACTTTCGCCCTGGCGAGTTTCTCCGCGCCACGTGGGGGGTGATCCAGCGGCTTCGACGGATCCGCCCAGCGAACGAGTGCCTGGCAGAGATCGGATTGTCTGCCCTCGGCGAGATCGTGGCGCAGATCATCCGCGAGTTCGGCCTCGGGAAGGCGATCGGCGAGATCGTGTTGTATCGTCTCCGTCAATCAGTGCCAAGTGCCGACGTCCTGGCGGATCGCAAGACGATCGCGGAGATCGAGCATTGCGGCAGGTGGTCATCAGACAGCAGTGTGAGGAGATATCAAGAAGGAGAGCGGATCAACGAGCTCCTAAATCGGTGTTCAGCTCAGATGAGAGAATTCGCCGTCATTTGTTTGGAGGTTGTGCCGAGGACCCTGCAGAGATCGGGCGCGCCGCTGCAGGTTCCAGCGGGCCTACGCGTGCGTTGTTTGTGCCCTGCTTTCTCGAGATCTTTGCTGGTGCGGCTCGCGTATCCCGGGAGATGGCTCGGCTCGGCTTCCTGGCGATCGCTATCGACACTCGTTTTGGCATGAGGCATGATATGTGTAAGAGATCCTTGGTGAGAGCTATTAGAGGCTGGATCATGTCAGGCTTCGTCATAGGCATTCATGTCGGCACGCCGTGTATCTCATGGTCTCGCGCTCGTACCAGGCCCAACGGCCCTCAGCTCCTAAGAAGCAGTGAGCGCATTCTTGGGCTGCCCGTCCTGCGAAACGAGGGGGAGCGCTGGAAGATAGACATGGGAAACACTACCATGAGAAACGCTGTGAGCATCGCGTCAGTGGCGTCTCTGCACATGGTCCCGTTCTGTATCGAGAACCCCTACTTATCCTTTATTTGGGAGGCGCCTCAGATGCTGCATGTACGACGACGTCGCGCTACACGGGGAATTCGAACATATTTCTGTCAATGGGGAGTCCCTTGGATGAAGCCCACTAGGCTAGTGTGTAGCTATTTGCCTGTTGAATCCTTGGGCCGTAGGTGTAAACTCTGCAGGGGAAGGTGTTCCAGAACGAACAAGCCACATGTTTCTTTAACGGGCAAGAGCAGTAATGGAATCTTTAAAACCCGCGTGGCCGAGGAATACCCAAAGTGTTTTTTCTCGTGCCCTTGCCAAAGCTTTCGCTAATGATTTTAAGAGCCTGAAGGCCACCTCTTTCTCTGCAGCTTTGAAGTGAGTGTGTATCCAGGGAGAAGTCCCACCACCGCCCCTTTTCCTCCATGATAGAACGGTTTGCACGTGTGGAGCGGAGCTGCGCTTCAGAATTCTGTGATGTTGTTGAGCAGCACCCTGAAAAAGGTGCTGGTGCACAGCGCTTGAGATCAGTACAACTGTCTGCGCTGCCCGTGAAGTAAAAAGGTCTGGCTGCCGCTGCTCGTGCTCCCTCGGGTCTCGGTGGCCCTCTCAAAGCAGGCAGGTGTCTCACACGCCCCGAAGGCAGATGCTACTAGTGCGCGCGCGTCTTGCGTCAGCCGATGTTGCTCTCTGCAGCGTGTGTTGCTCCCGCCTACCTCCTTGTCACACTGTTATTTCTTTGCCTTGCGGAGCGGAGCTGCGCTTCAGAATTCTGTGATGTTGTTGAGCAGCACCCTGAGAAAGGTGCTGGTGCACAGCGCTTGAGATCAGTACAACTGTCTGCGCTGCCCGTGAAGTAAAAAGGTCTGGCTGCCGCTGCTCGTGCTCCCTCGGGTCTCGGTGGCCCTCTCAAAGCAGGCAGGTGTCTCACACGCCCCGAAGGCAGATGCTCATCATCATCATCATCATCATCATCATCATCATCATCATCATCATCATCAGCATCAGCATCAGCATCAGCATCAGCATCAGCATCATCATCAGCATCAACATCATCATCGCCATCATCATCGTCGTCATAACCGTCGCCGTCATCAGCAGCATAAGAAACTTTTCCCTTCTCGTCCTTCCCCTTGTGGGATGGGCACGTGTGTTTTTGTGTGTATGTGTGTGTGTGTGTGTGTGTGTGTGTGTGTGTGTGCGTTGCGCGTGTGCGTGGTTGGAAGGATGGGGGGGCTTGGCACTTCGATCCGCTGTTGCTGCGATGGCGCACCGGCGTCGAGGCAACGACGCGGAAGAGGCGGTGAAAGAGCAGAGGTTTGTGGTGGGAGAAGCGCCAACAATGCCTTCAATGAGTGCATTTATCGCGTCATCAGCACCTGCAGGTTCGCTGCCAACGATTGATTTCAGTAGCCCCAGCGCCGTTTCAGCTGAGCATCGTATCGTAGTCTCTGGAACCTACCCTCGGGGAGGGTCCTTGTAACCTGAGTGGGTGGATGGAGTTCGTGATCATACGTATTGGGTGGAAGGCGGTCTGGTAAGGCAGCGCTTCAGACCGATCTGCCGCGCGAAACATTTCACCTCGCGCGTTCACGCGATACTAATCAGTCGTGGTTCGACATCGGCTGCAGTTTTTCGGTTGTGCGTGTGGTCCGATGTTCGGTATGTTAGGTGGTGGAGGCTGTGGACGTGTTGGGCTGGGTAGGGGAGTCGAAGAGGGTGTTACGGTTGCCCCTTCGGCATTTTTCAGCGCCAGTCTCAGAAAACCGCTTCAGCCAGTACAGTTTTCCCCTCTCGCCAGCTGGCCTGACCAACCAGAGCGGTGGAGGTAGGGGGGGTGGGGTAGGGGTGGTGGTGGTGGTGGTGGTTGTGGTGGTAATTGAGTATATACGGTAGTAATGTATTCTTTCGCATCGAGGCTCGCATCGTACCAGAATCCGCAATCCGCTATGCAGCAGCACTTGGCTACCTTCTCTTCGTCTCCACTCCCTCCTGAGATTGTCCTTCCCCTCTACTCACTGCGATGCGTTGTTATCCACACCGCCTAGCGCACGCATGCCACACCAGGGCATCTTTACATTGGCCCCCTCTGGGCATCGTTTCATCGGCCCCGAGGCGCACCTATAGGTTGGCGGATGAATATACAGCAAGACCTGGCGAGGTGAGAGTTCACTTCATGTGAACACGTACGCCCGCGAACTGTTGGCAGTGTAACTACCCTCGAAGATGGCGCTTGGAAGGGGAGGTGGCGGTCTAGTAGAGGAAGGATGTGGTGGAAGGGGGGTCGGCTTTCTTTTGAGCTTGTCCTCATGTGGCTGGCCAGCCGCGTGCGCTTTCAAGCGCTTGCCTTTTGCGACGTCTTCGAGGGCATTTGTTGGGTGTTGTAGGTTGTGAAGGAGCACGCTGCGCCGGCGCGCATTTGGCGCGTTGTAGGCGGCGCACGCTTGTTCAGCAACTGCCGGTATCTTTATTTGTCACTAGCTGCCCCCTAGGAGGGCATGAACTGCCTTTGATGAGGGCCCTTGCCATGGGAGGGATCAGGGGTATGTGGGATTGTAGTTGGGCAGCGGTGGGAGGGGAATACCTTGCTGACGCCTGCAGATCGAATATTTTATGTTCTCTCGGGCTTCTCTATACTTGCTTATTTTGCAATAAGGTGCTTTTACTGGTTGCCGTCCACACAAAACGCTGCGAGCATCATGCTTATATTCTGGCCAACGTAAAGAAACAGCGAGGGCTCCGCAACTTGAGCCTGCGACGCCGCGGCGCGAGGCGGAGCGCGACGTTCTAGCCAGCCTCGGCGCTTCGAGGACGGAGGCGGCCGAGGACGACGAGGACGACGACGACGACGGACGACGACGACGACGACGACGACGACGACGGGCGACGGCGGCTAGCAACGACAACGAGGACGACGACGCCGACGCCGACGCCGACGCCGACGACGACGACGACGAATACGAAGACGGGCGGCGGCGGGCGGCGGTGGTGCCGCCGACGACGACGACGACGGCAGCAGGCGACGGCGGTGGCGGCGGTAGAAGTCTACGGCGCACGACAACGGCGACGACCGACGGCCGACGACGGACGACATACACCGACGTTCGCGACGACGCCGCCGAGGGCCGACGGTGGCGGCGGCGACGACTGCGTCGTCCCGAGGAGGCGGGGATCGATGAAGAGGCGCAGGCGTACTGGCGGCTGGTCGTGAGCCCCACTGAGTTCCAGGAGGCTGGCAAGCTGACGCCTGGCTCCTCAGCCACGCCCCGATCAGGTTGAGGTCATCCAGGCGGACGATGGGAGCCGGTGCAGTTATTGTCAGCTTCGGATTGACGCTTAGCTCCTTTCGGAACTGATCTGAGTTCTAGACGCTTTGCGTAACCCCACCAGCCCATCCAGAAACGATGAAGAGTGCTATCATCAGGGATGTGGAGGATAGTACAATGGAATATCGGGATGGGTATGACTTCGTGCCCCCAGAGGGGGAGGATGGAAGAGTAATCGGGGGAGGAGCGAGAGGATGACGAGGCATAGTGGGAGGAAGAAGGATAAACAGGCGGATACAAAAGGAAAAAAAAAGGAGGACGAGGAGGAGGACGAGGAGGAGGACGAGGAGGAGGACGAAGAGGAGGACGAGGAGGAGCAGGAGGGGGGTGAGCAGAAAGGCCTCAGGCCTCTCGGATGCATCTCGGAGTCTCTTCGGATTTCTTTCGAGAGTTTCGTGGGGTCCTCTCGGGGCGCTTTGGGGGTCTCCTGACAGTCCCCGGGGCCTCTTGGGGCGCACTGGGTGTCTCTGAGGGGCCTCCTGGGGCCTCTTGGGGGTCGCTTCGGAGCCTTTCGGGGGCATCTTAGAGGGGCCTCTGGAGGCCTACTGGGCACCTCTTGTGGCCGTCATCGGCGAGCGATAACCTGCAGCTGACTCTGGGGGTGAGCCCCTGCGCTGTCGCGCTGTTGCGCTGTGCGCCAAGATGCAAAGACGGTCGAGAAGGCAGATCTTGTTATTTGGGCTGAAGTCCGGGGACGTGGCGTTCTTCAACTACGGCGTGGAAGGGGAACCTTGGCATGAACAGTTCAATCTGGCACTCGTGGAGGGGTGCATTTACATCGTGATGATCCCAGAAACTCTACGCAGATTCGATCAGCAGGGAGTAACTGGAGGACTTCGTGGTGGGCGGCCCCCGAGGGGGGCTGCCGGCGGAGCTGGACGCGGCGCGCGGCCAGCCTGTGTACCGCTCCCATGCGCGGCCCGTGTGGGGCAGGAACTGAGTGACCTGCGCGAGGAGGGCCAAGCCAGAGCGGTCGACGAGAGGCGCGTGCTGGGTCTGTCGCTTGAGGAGCCGGAGCCCCAGCAGGTGGCGGATGTTGCTGCAGCGGCGCCTCTACCGCCACCGGCAAGACCTCGGGGTTGAAACCAGGATCCGACCGCTTCAAGTGGGTGTGCGTGGCCAAGTCGTCGGCAGTCCCAGTTGGCAGCGTCTTCGCGGTTGCTGAGCACCGCAGCTCCCCGTCAGACAGGTTCACCAGCGTGGGGACGGTCGGCCTCTATGACGTGGGCTTGCGTGGGTACCCGGCGGTGCCGCGCAGAGTGGAGATGGGCGAGACCGAGGACGATGTGATGGCAACCTTCGGCCGCATGGTCAAGAAGGACGGCGCGGTGGGGGTTACCGACACTCCGATGAGGCCGGCGTCGGTGGCGGCTGGCCCACAGGACGCTCGCGCCTTGCCCATCGTCCGGGACAACGGCGGGAAACGCTTCAGGGACCTGAAGAGCGTGGTGAATTCGTCCGAGCAGTCCGCGTTCTCTGACTGGATCCTGGAGGGCCCCCGCAGGGCGTTGCATGTGATAAAGATGATATCCCAGCAGGCGGGTGGCCCAATCGCGGCGCACGACATGGAAGCATGAGAACCAGCTGCAGGAGGAGCACAGCGCGGTCACCCACGAGATGTTCTCGGATATCCTGGCGCTGGCGACGACCTCCGACAAGCTCGGCGTGTCGAGCCTGGCACGCATGGAGTGTCTGCGCCGCCGTGCCCAGTGCATCGAGAAGCGCGTCGAAAGAAGCGGGAGGCGCGCAAGGGCATCGACGCGCAGGACAACTACCTTGGCAGGTCGCGTCGCGCTGGCGGCGCCATCATGCGCCCCGAGCTGCTGAAGTCGGTCGCCGAGTCGGCCGCCTGCGACTCGGCCATCTTGGAGGAGGAGAGGAAGGCTTCCGGAGAGCGTGCGCTTGCGCGCGCTCTTAAGAAATCATGGTGAGAGGCGGGGCTGGGGGATGGCCGCCCCTGGTGCGAGCGCATGGCCGCGCCGTGGAGAGGATCGTGCCTCGGGGCGTGTTTCCGCTGCCTGAGGTGCTGGAAGTTCCTCCCAGACCTTGCCGAGGTCCTCGCCGTGCTGCTCGGCGTCTGGGCAGGAGGGCAGCCGTCGGCCGACGCTCGAAAGACTGCGTCGCCGCCTTCAACAACCTGTACGGGAGCGGCTCGTTTTTGCTTGGGTCTCGATCTTCTCAGGTGCAGTTTTCGGCGCTCAACGGCATCTGGCGCGCGGTCGCTGACGACGAGCCGCCTGAACCCTTGGGTGCCCCCGAGGCAGCCCTGGCGGATGGTGCCGAGGCCCCCGACTGCGCGTCCGAGGACCCTGTCGCGGTTGCGCCGTATGATCGCGGCGTAGTCTCGTTGCCAGACGCTGCGGGGTCGGTGGACTTGCTGGGCGTCTTGCCTGGCCCTGGCCGCCAGGATGTGATCGACGGTCCCCTTTCTCTTTGGTTCCGAACTGAGGAGGCGCTCCCAGCTAACTGCAAGGTCCACTGGGATAGGACCCTTCGCGCGGGCAGAGGCGAGTGCGCACTTTCTGTTCAGGAGTTGCTGAAGAGGGGCTTGGTGGAGCTCCGTGCTCGCCGAGATTTTGAAGTGGGTATGTCCTTCGCGCGCGAGAAGTCATGCCGTCTACGCTGGATATTGGGTGCGCGTTCAGTCGATCAGAAGCTCCGGCGACCCGCCTCAATCCAGTTAGCGTCGACGGCGGCGGTCGCGGGCCTCTGAGGTGGAGCTGGGGGACAAGCTGGAGTTCTCGCTTCAGGACATCGCAGATTGCTTCTGCCAGTTCAAGGTGCCGGACTTCATGCTGCCGTAGTCCGGGGCGAAGCCGGTCAGAGCTGGCGAAATTGGGGCGAAGTCTGTGCAGGGGGGCCCGTCTTGGCAGGCGCGCGGCTGCGCCCCTGCCTGCGGGCCTTGCCTACGGTGCCCTCCTGGGCCATGAGGTGGGCGCAGCGGGCCCGTCGAGGGCTGCTTCGCCGCGCGGGGCTGGGAGGTGTCGGGAGTGAGCTGGTGGGCCAGCGAGTGTCCGCTAGAAACTTCGTCGTCTCCAGCGCCCCGTTTCGCGTGTGCGTGGGCAACGGTGCCGACTAGATCTCTCGAAGAGGTGGCGGCTGGCGCAGGGCGCTTGCGCCTTGCTCGGGCGGCGGCTGGCGGCGGGCAGGGGGGTGGAGAAGCTGGTGGGCCACTTCGCGCGCGCCGTGCTGCTCGACCGCCGGGCTCTCCGCATCTTCGTTCGCGCTCGCCCTTTCCGCCAATTTCGGCGCGCTTCTCGCGCGGTTCGCGCCGCGCGCTCTGGGTTTCTAAATGAGTGTGGGGGAGTGCCCCCCCGACCGGGGGACGACCTCGCCTTGTCTTCGCGCCGCGACGGGGGTCCGAACGCCTGCGGCGCGCGGCGGCTGCCCGCGACGGGGTCGATGCGGGGCCGTCTGCGGGGGCGGCGCCCCCCCGACGCGCGCGGGGGAACTCGGAGTAGGGATCCGGCCGGAGGTCCCAGCGGCGCCGTTCGCACGAGCCCCCCCCCCATTTCGAAGCGCCCTTCGCGCGTGTCATAAAGCGTTCCACCGGAGGCCCGAGTGGCGGAGTCCACGCGCGATCCCCCCAGCCATTTCGACGCGCCCTGCGCGTGCTTCGTGGCGCCGAGGGGGGTCCGCCGAAAGCCCGAGCGAAACCGTTCGCGGGCGTCTCGCCCGCTCGTTGCGGCGCGCCCTTAGCGTGGTCAGTCGCCCCGCAGAAAGCTCGCCGAAGGCCCCGGCCGGGGCCGCCAGTGGCCGCGTTCGCGCGTGGGCGCCCCGCCCATGTCGGCGCGCTCTTCGCGCGCTTCGCGGCCCCAGTGGGAGCACCGCCGAAGGCGATGCTCGCGGCGACGGCGCCCGCGAACGCACGTGGTTGGGTCCTTCGCCGAGATCGTTGCCAGTGACAGCTCCACGCGTACTATCCATTACGAAGAACAGTATTTCCACAAAGTTATAACGTGCACGATGGGCGTTTGTATTGCCCTGCAACTATCCTGCAATCGCGGCTTTGCTCCTGCTCTCGCGCCAACCCTACTGTTATCGATGCGAGTGGGTGCTGTTCGCGCGGCGGGCTCCCGCCGTATCACAAGCATTATAGTTCGGTTACCCCGTTCTACCATTGCTATTTCTGATGTTCCCGCTGCGTCTCTTGCTCGGACCGCTGGCGCTGCTGGAGTTGTTCGACCTGGTCCGTTCATTCCTAGTGGTGTTACTTCTACTGCTGATTCATCTCCCGGCGCGACTGCCATTGCGATTATTTCAGTGCATTGCTGTCGCGACGGCGACGGCTATTATTAGTTGTATAAATCGCATGGGGAAACATATTCTTACCACCGCCGCTCCTGATATTATTATTCCAATTACTCCTCCTCCTCCTCCTACCACTACTACTACTGCAAGTGTTATTGGTACTGCTACTACCACTCGCAGTGTCGATATTTCTAATCTAATAATATTTCCGTTGGCGTTCACTTTTCTGGTATTTTTCGTTCTTGCTGCAACCGCGATTGGAGCTACTACTTGTTGTACTATTATTATCCTTGCGTTTACTACTACTACGACTACTACTACTACTACTACTATCACTAATTCTACAACTATTACTATTAGTATGACTACTACGGTTTCTACTATTACAATTGCTACGACCACCACTACTACTACTACTACTACTACTACTACTACTAAAATTTTTACAACAACTAACGCCCGCTGCTCCTACTCGTATTACTACTTCTACCAATTATAATTCCGTATTGCTACTATTTCTTTTTTACGACTACTATTACTACTGCACTACTACGACGACTACTACTATTACTACTACTATTACCACTGCTACTACTACTACGCCTACGACGATACTTATTCGTAGTAGTAGTAGTAGTACGACAACTATTATTACTACTACTACCATT